GCGGTGGTGGAATTGCACCGTCAGGAAGAGGCCTGTCTCTTCGGGTACCCTCGGCTCCAGCTGCCCGCTCCGTCCTCGGGCCCGAGCTTCGGTGGCCCTGCTGCCGGACGGGAGGGCCCTGCTGGTGAACAGAAGGCCCCCGCCGGGCTCCCCGCTGCGCGTGTGCTGAGGAGAAGGACCTGATCAGCCCCGCGCCAGTCTCTGGAAAGACAGTGAACGTGCTTTCGCAGGAGCCCTTTTGAAGCGCATGGCGGACAGGAGGGGGATGGGGAATAGTCAGTTTTACCGAGGACGAGTTCTGCCTGACCAGTGCTGATCGCCTCTGTGACAAATTGACTGATTATGGGGAGGAGTGGAGTAACCTACTGTGATTTTTGGGAAGATTTTAGACACTGTCTCCCATGGTTGTTTGGGGGCTGAGCAGGTCCAGGCGACGAATGGACTGCTAGGTTGCTGGGAAATCGGCTGGGCTGTCGGCGGCCTCGAAGGGTAGCGATCGCTGGCGAGATAGCCCGCCGCGGGCCACGTCCCCCAGCGGGCCCCAGCAGCTGGTGCATGCAAAGAATGATTTTCAAATGTATGTCTTCAAGCAAATTATGTCACAGCCACACCGTACTTGCAGGGAACTTTTGTAAGGTTTACAGGACAGCTGTGCTCACGGCCACCCGAATATCAGGGGCTCTGCAGGCTGCCGGCGCGAGCACCCCTGTCCCTTGGGTTCCCATTCCTCCAGCCAAACCCTTTGGGTCATTTTAAGTTGGTGGCTGCTGTTCACAAAGAGCAGCATCGTGTATTGACAGAAATTACCAAATGCCCAAACAGCTCATGTCATTTAAATTATTCCATGCTCTCTCTGCAAAGAGAAATCCAGGAATTTAGAGCGCAAGGGCTGTGTCGTGTCCATGCAGGACACCTTCGGTGCAGGCCCCGTTCCCCGTGCGGGCTCGTAAAGAGATGTAACGAATGATGCAACGAATGAGGCGCCCCGTTTTGGCCAATTCCTATCAACCTTGCCTGTGTATGCTGCAGCCGCAGGGGCGGATGGGGCACGTCTCCGAATCACGCCAGGGCTCCCGGCCTCCCAGGACACGTTATAAAAAAGGCTCAAGCGTCTTTCTGGGCATACAGGACACAGGAGAGCATTTCACAGGGTGGGCCTTCAACCATTTAGTCAAAGAAATGGTCTTCTAATGACTGCCTGCTTATTCTTTCAGAGGATGACATGAATAATTACATCAGTCGATACTACAACGAGCCCAGCAGTGGTAAGTGTCCCCTAAAATGTAAGGATAAACTGAATTTTGGCCTAGCAGGTGTTCTACAAGGTCTGTGTTGCAATGCTCGCTGTAAACCAAGCGAGCCTGAACAGTGCGCTAGCTCTGTCCCTGGAGCAGGAGGCCTCCGTGGCAGCTTGGTGTTCTCCACGGACGTTTGTAGCAAGACAAAAATTGTCCAGAGATTACAGCGCCCCAAGATTGCTCCCACTGGAGTCACTCATAATGGTCTGAAGAGCCAGGCAAGGTTAATCCCCCCCTTACTAGGCTGTCCAGGCCACAGAGTGTGCAAACGGACCTGGGAAGGGAAAGCATGGACAAAACAAAAGAGTGGAAAGTAAGTGCAGCACCGGGCTGGGAACCTTTCAGAAAGGTTAAACTGAGTGATGAAACCTCAGTGGCAGGCAGACCTGAGGGCAGCCCCGAACAGTGTCTCCTGGCGGGCGTCCCGGCGGGCGTCCCGGCGGCCCC